TTTTATTGGCATCTTGTACCGCCAACTGAACGAGTACCCAAAGAATAAAATTTAAAAAAAAAAAAAAGGATTCACTTCCCCTCCTAAAACCCCGGTAGCAAGCGCCAGCCGCCGTCTCCAGCCGGTTATGAGTTATGACTTATTCGACGACAAGAAGATTTCGAGGACCAGAGGTTAGACTTTCATAATGGACGCTCTTCTTGAGATGATTTTGATCGATTCTGGTCTTGGAACACGAATCTATCAGTCTCCTTCTTGATCAGCTTCATCCCGACCGATCTTGTCGTCATTCTCTGATTCTCCTCAGCATTGAAACCTACTACAATCCCCCTTGCGGGAGCACCGGTTAGGCTGTACGCATGACCAATGTATTATAATAATCTCAATTAAATTTGACACAATCAAGAAGTAGGTCCACAAGTAGGTTTTAGTCATTGACTTTTCCGTTACATGATTTTCTTTTGGGAGTGAAGAATGTGGGGAAATTTCGAATCTATGAAAATGATTGAACTCAACACAATTTTGGACCCTATGACTTGATTTTAATGTGCGGATAATGCATAAGAAGTGAATCATAATCCGGAGGATATTGAAAGGGAAGAAGTCAACAAAAGATTGGAGCTAATTTAATAATGTCAAATGAGTAGTTTGTGGGGCTGTTTACTTTGCATGTCAGTTTTTTCTTAAGAAAAGTAGGCTAAACTGTTGAAGGCATAAATCTCATGAGAGAAATCACAGTAAATATTCAAAATTTCCTGTGCAACCAGATTATGAGGAAGTCGGTGGGCCCAAGAGAATTCTCCTGTACTCTGTAGTTTTTGTTTTAAAAGCCGGAAGGCTTATAATCTTTTTATCTGAATTGTGCGTGTCTAGTATTATTTCTTTTTCTGATGTTTAAGCTTAAGGACTTCTCGTCTGGCCCATTTTTGATTTCTTTTCTATTTTTTCAGGCACAGTAGCATTCTTACCTATTCACGAAACAAGCACAAACAGCTTTGGTAGCTGAGGTGCTAATGATGCATCATCTGGTTTTAAGCTTCTAATCTGTTGGTCAGATATTTATAAATTTGAGAACTGTCTCTAATACGTAAATTCAATGGGGGTGCATATGTTCTTGCAGAAGCTATATATGAAATTACATGTTATTGTGAGTTGGCAAAAAATCTATTCAATCTCAAGTTGGGCAGACAGGAAGAAGATGGGTCATGGGAGTAATGTTGCGGTTGGAGGATAGGTAATTTTTATTTGGAAGAGCTCACTGCTTCAGTTGAGACCATTTCATCCAATCCTATTGTATATTTGTTTGGAAGTATCTGAAATAATCGTTTTTAAAGAAAATAATAAAAGAGCAGAGAGTTCAAATCGTGCTTAGATTTGGTCCTATAATTTTTATTTTTTGGGGTAAAAAAATTTGGTCCTATAATTTAAATTGTCAGAATATTATTTTCCTTTTAACGTTTCCTTTTATCTACATTACATTGTATCAATTGTGTGGCCAAGCTCGCTTGCAAGGCTGCAACATGTTTGCCTATCAGGATTTCTTACAATTGATCTTCTTTTGCCTTATATTCCACTAGTCATTTTTATATCTCTTTTGGTTAGCACATGTGGTTTGTCAGCATTTTACAACTAATTTGCAAACAGAACCAAATCATAGTGATATAATTTTCCACAAATAAAAGTTACTAACTCAATTATTCCATTATGGTAAACTTCTGCTATTTCAATATCTTGTCATTGGCTGATTATACTTTCAAAATTTCTGCTGCTTAATATTTTTATAGCCACAAAATAAAAAATAAAGTATTAGTTCTGGGTTGGGTTGCCATGGTTTGTACTGTAAAGGATCTTTTTCATCATTTTACGATAACAAAGCAAAAGTTTAATATTTTTAATGGGTAAACAGAAAAATTCATGTAGTTGCTGATACCAAGTAAGGTCATAAAGTTGCATTATCGGGTTGAAGTGAAAGGTTCATGTAATGAATTTGAGCTTTGCCGGGGCCTGATTATAATAGGAATTTGGAAGTTGTTCTGCAAAAAGTGCTTCTCATTTCATTGCATGTCCTCTCTTTTGTATTTAGTATAATTGAAATTTGACTGATTCACGAAACAGAATTGTCTACCCTCCAGGAAATAGTCGACTCCGCGATATTCCTTCAGTTGCACGTTAAGATTTAATGATTTCTTGTTTTGTGGGATACACGTGGCATATAATTCGGCTCAAATTCGTAACTTGGAAATTCATTATTGGCTAGTGAAAGTGGAAGAATTTAGTGGGCTGTATCTCTATTATGTTGATGTAGTCAATAAGTGATGCTGAAGATTGTAGAATCTCTCCGTACGATTCTCTGAATGGGGTTGTTACAAAGAAATGAGCTAGCTTTTCCACTGTCCATTTTATATGTGACAAAATGTTGCTATCATCCGAGACCTATGAGATCATTGCATCACTGAACACTTAAGCCGAAAGATATGGTCTTAATGGAGTTTATGTTCTACGTGCTATTGATAGGTTTCACTACTTGTACAAAGGAAAAGTTTTCTTCAACTACACGTTGTATACAATCGAGGAAGTGCCGCATATCTATGTAAGGATATTTTGCTGATGGCTGCAGATGCTCGCCCAATTCAGGTATCATCTTCACACCACTTTTTGATAGATAATACCAATTATAAAATTGTGATGTTACTGTATCTTATCTTTTTGATTAAATGCCAAAGACTAAAATAATCATAGGCATCAGTGCAAAAGAGACAACAACACGCATACTTTTGCAGCCAAAATAATCGACATGTAGTTTCTAAGAATAATTTTAAAGGTGCTATATTCCATCAGGGTCAGTATTAGACCTACTGAATGCAACCCTGCTTAACAATGACCTTTACATTTTTGTCCTATACCTAATACCCATAAAGTTTAAAAAGTGAGTTGCACTCCAAGCAGTGGATTTAATTTTTGATTGATGGCATTTGCAACCAAGTCTGAATAATCTAATAAGCTGGGATTTAATTCTAAATTATTCAAGAATAAGATGGTGCGTAAAGAGGTAGCCTTGACATTGCTGGATCAAAAAATAATAATACTAATAGTAGTAATTGTAATGCTAATTGGCAGAGATATTAAAAGTAGGAAGTGAGGGCTTATTAGTAACCTAGGGAATGGTAGGGGGATGTACTCTTCTTGGCGGGAGGTCATGCTCAAAAAGCAGTCTCTCGGAATATTTCAAAGTTGGTTTTCGGCAGTTTTTACAGTTGAGAGGTGAATATAACTTCCAAAAACGGAAACAATTTTTCTTAATATAGGTGACTGCATCAAATCAGAACGCATGAACCAAACAGAGGAATCTTTTTTTTTTTTTCTTTGGGGGGGGGGGGAGTCATATTGTTGAAACACAAAATATAGAAGACTCTAAAAAACCAACAGCCTTGATTTAATTAAGACTAATTAGAATATTTCCTTTTTAATGCTTCCAATATTTTTTAATTAAAATTTCTTAAGCAGGATTCTCTTCTTGCTAGTCATGTCATTTACAAGCTTAATTTGAGTTGTGAGTCTGTCAGACTTTTATATCCAACAAGAACAACGTAGTCCAACGATCAACCTAATCTGGATGAGTCAGAAAAATTGGATGAGAAATATAATGGGTAGAACACAGAGTAATTGGCTGATAGATTGGCAATAACATTTCTGTTGAAGCTTCCTCGTTTAAGCAAAGCAGTCTCCATTGACCAAGCTTTTCCGCTTGTTAATTGGTTGGAAGGAGAGTCTGCACATTTGGTTGTTATGTTTGTTGACGAGTTATGTTCCTGGTTAGGAGAGACTAACACAACAAAAACTCCTATATTTAGTTTTGCATTGCAAACATATGCAAGTACAAGAGAATTGAACTTCTGGTACTACCAAAACTAATTCTAGGCAACAGTAAAATTGCCAATAGCTATAAGAAAAGTAGGTAAATCAGGTGAACAGTCAAGGTAGCACTCTGTGCATGAAGGTTGAGACTTTCATATCTGTCTCTAAGGATGGTGATATGCTACCACGTATTGTACATTCTAGTCTTGGTATCATTACATCAACGGATGTATTAGGAAAAATTTAGTTATACCTAGTTTTAGAATTTGTCAGATTTTTTATGACCCCATAATAGCAGAGTACAGATCTGCTAAATGCCTTGCCTTTCTGTTTCAGGTCAGGTGCTCTTGACTTCTTCTGCCCGTTTAATTCGTTACAATACAGAACCCAGGCAGAGATTAAGATAAGCACAGAGGGAGGGAGGGAATTTGGGTGGGGGGAGGTTTTTGTTAACGAATGAAGAAAACGGCTGCAGCGACAGTTACCAATCTTTGGACAGATGGTGGGTGAGAGATTTCCCTCACTTTTTAAACAAGCAATTTCTGCAATTAGGAGGAAAGGTAGGCCAACAGTCAATACAATAACTATTTGACACATTAAATATAACGGAATGTTTATTGTTTACTAACCCCGCAAGTCATTTTGGATCAGTAAAGGCCTAAGGGGGTATCGAAATATTTTATCTTATTATTTTATTGTATATCATACTCTGAAATGAAAAAGGGAAATCACTCTCAGGTGTCACACAAGGAATCTAAATAATTCCACTAACAACTTTCTAATAGTAATTGACAATTTCATTATAGTAAACTGATAATTTCAGTAAATAATATGAAACTTCAAAGTAATTTTATGATTTTATGGGATTTTTCTGTATTTAGATCCTCATATGGGGACTTAAGAGTGATTCTCTTCCAACCCCCCCCCCAACCCAAAAAATTAAAAATAAAAAAAATACATTGAGCAGTTGCATATTTTACAAGTGATGCTTAGTTGGCGTTACAAGTAATAAAGCGTGTACTTTAACATTTCTCATTCGTTGCAGGCATTGATGTCTTGCATGTAAAGGCTGGCTTTCAAGAAAAGAGACTGGTTAGTTGTTTTCCATAGAGACTTTAACATGCTTTATCCGGCTAGTGAACCAATCTGGAATGACAAATTTAATTAAAAGCAAGTTAATTAATATAAATTAATGTAATAATATCATAGTTGCTAATTTGTAGTAATCAGCGAAAAAGTAGTTATTAACACATTCTTTCTTGTGTAACATCACCGTGTACTTTCTAACCGATTTTGAGCTGCCAACATGCAAGTTTAAACTTCCATAGTCATGCCGGACATCAATACTTCTTTTCCGGACAATAATAGGTTAATGGGTTGAGAAAGTTTCAAACAATTATTAATCTATGCAAAAATGATTGAACATACAACAAATAACTTCACAAGTTTTTTTTATCAACACTAACTTCAGTTATAAGTTCTTGTTGTACAAGATTGTGTCCGGATCAACTAAAATTGTCATTACTTTTAAGTTGACAATTAAAAGCTTTTTCATGTACGTTATAGTTTACAAAATAAAAAATGAAAAAAAAAATGAAATTCCATTTAAACCACATAAATTAGGGATGAATAATATAATGTCTATAACTTGCTTTCAGTATTTTAGAGGAGATAATTTCTATTGTTGGTACGCCTACTTCTTGTATTATAAAACATCAGTATTCATTCATACCTTACATTTTGTGTCATAAGCACGAATTTACAATTATAAATAAGATAAATATTTGAAAAATTTAAAATAAATAAACTAAGAACATACGCCAAATCAAACTATATTTATCAAATCTATCTTTTGGCCAAAGATATTTATCAAATCCTGCCATTGGTTTCCTAATATATATATATATATATATATATAAAATTGATTTTTTTGGAGATTGGTTTTGTAAGGATATGAAATTAATTTCTGTAATGCCCACGTGAAATAAAGTTATTATGCGTGAAAATAATTGACTTGAGCATTAATCATTCTGGAGAGGCAACTCTATTATCAAACGTTCCTAAATTATTATTGGTTCCAATTGAAAAATCATTTTCATAGTTTCGTGATTAACCGATTGGTGCTGATTTTGGTGGACTAACAATACGATGATGCAGAAGTTTGCTTAAAATTATAGCTGCGATGTCCTCCCTTCGGAATGAATCGTCGGAATATAAAGGGAAAATCTTAAACGTTCGTTTCAAGAGCCTGCAAAATTCTTGTATCAAAGAAACAATCATAAGATTTGGTGTTGCTCTGGGCATGTAAGAAACAGCAAGAACAAGAAATACGTAATTTTGGGGTAGCTTCTCATCAAAAAGTGTGTGATGGCTTTATTTGTGACAGAATTCCATCTATCACGAAATGAATCTAATGGACTTTTATTGCAAATTTGGTTTTTTTTTTTTGTTTTGGTTACAGTATTAGTTGTGAATAATGTAGCTTGCTTCCATGTCATATAGTAGATATAGGCATCTTCTACCAACTAGTTAATATATATTAAATCATAAAAGTCTGCACATCGAAAACTTGGAAGGTAGATCTATGTGAGATAAGCTGGCTCAATTATATTTGTTTTAAGACTTAACGAGTTAATCTTCAGTAAACATTATTCATTTGGACACGGATTGGTAATCCTGTGTGGCCAAAAATATTACTGTTTTCATATCAAATTATAAAATATTTTTAAAAAAGATGTAATATATTAAAATATAAGAATATAGGACACTTTGAAAAAATTAATATTTTATTAAATAGGTTTATTTTAATATTTTTTCTCTATTTATAGTTAATTTCTCTCCCTTCTCTTTTTAATATATTAAATGATGAGTATTTTTGAAAGTTTATATTTTTGTTTTGAAAATATAAAATTATTAAGTGTATTTAATGAGGTTTATTAGCATGTAAAATTTTGTTTAAAAGTGTCTTATAATTTGAGATAGAGGGAGTAATACTTAATTATTGTTGAGAATTGAGATCTCTTTTTATTTTCTTAAAATTATAATTATAAATGCTAGAATTGCTTAATTTAGAATTCATATTAAATTGATCAACATTTATTAATTAATCATACGAGTAATGTTTACACAATTTTACTCTCTTATAATATTGTTTTTTCCCTCTAAATGCATGCAAGCTTGTAATATGTTTTTTTTTACCCAAATAAGAGTTGTTGAAAAGTTGATGAGATTTTATCAAGGAGTTATCCATGAAAGATCAATTTTCGCTTCCATTTTGTTTATGAAGCCGAAAAAAGGGATCAATTATAACTCTTTTGAAGAAGGTCTCATTTAATTATATCTTAAAAATAATTAGTATTAAGATTGGAGGTGTGTAATGCTTTCAAGAGGAGAAGTTAATCTGCAATTTATGAATGAGATAACAAAAGAAAAAAAAAAAGCTACATATGACTCTACTGAGAAATTAGATTGTAGTAAGTAATAAAACAAAAATGATATTGCCAAAAAAATGATAAACAAAATTCATAAAATATTGAATTAATAAGAAAAGTTATATAAGCAAGTATGTTGAAAAGTTGCTGTTTGTCTACAGTGAAGAGCGTGGTGCTAAACGAGTCCCGTTTTGGTGTATTGATCAAGTGATGAGCATTCAGACCGTTCAGATGAAAATTTTAAACGATTTCAATTTATAGTTTTTATTTTATATTTATTATAAAAATTATAAAATTTTAATAAATCTATCTTATCATAAATATAAACAATATACACTTTGGATGATCTAATTTAATATTAATTTTTTAAAAATTTTATAAATTAATTGTCCAAATATATTCTGGACAGACTGGATCCATCTAGTCAATTTATAAAAATTTTAAAAAAATTAATATTAAATTGAACCATCCAAATTAAATTTATATTATCTAGATTGATGTTAAGATAAATTTATTAAAATTTTATACTCCCTCCATCTCAAATTATAGGATACTTTTAAAAGAGTTTCTTCATTCTAAAATATAAGAAACTTTAAATAGATTAAGATTTTATTAAATACACCAATTTTAAATTTTACCTTTTATCTCTCTATAATTAATTTCCATCACTTCTTTTTTCAATATATTAAATGATGGGTATTTTTAAAAGTTTATATTTTTATTTTAAAAAATAAGGTTGTTAAGTATATTTAATAAAATTTATTGATATGTGAGATTTTATTTAAAAATATTTTATAATTTGAGACGGAAAGAGTATCTTATTTTAAAAAATATAAAATACAAAGTGAAAAATTTATATCGTCCAAATTTGGTCTGATGAGCACCGAAACCAATCAAGGCGCGAAACTGCCCTTGATGGTTGTTATGAAGTTGGATTCACGTTTTCTTATTTCATGATCGATCTCTTTTTGTTACGTGAGTCATCAATCTTTAGTTGGTTAATTATAATTGGATTAATTATTCTTTATCTTTATGGCTTATCGCACTTTAACATTAATTTGACCAAGTCTCATTGGTTACCCTTAATCAACATCTAGCTTAGCTGGTATATATCCTTGGTCATGGTTTTCTGCGTTAATGGCTTCTGTGTTACTCTCCGTCTCTAGTCTCCAATATAGGACATTATTAATAACTAATTTATGCTTTTTGTTTTTTGGGTAAAGTTATATTGAAACTTTAATCTTTTACAAAAATACATACATACATATGTCTAATTGTACTTTTATTAAATTTCTTATATAAGTATTTTAATAGTAACAATTAAAATTTCAATGGACCATTTTAAAATGAATAATAAATGAAGAGGTATGGGTATAATTAGAAAAAAAAAATTATAAGAACTCCTACTGGGCACAAAAAGTGCTTTCAACTATTTTACTAGAATCAATGATTGACAATTAACTCATTAAATATGTCTTAAGATAAAAAATGTCCAACTTTACCCTTGTTACAAATAAGAAGAGAGATACATAGTTTATGATGAGCCATAACATTAAGTTTACAATAGGAGTAAAATTTGAAAATGATAATAAATAATTCTCTATGTGTTTTATACTTATTCTATCCTAAATTATAAGATACAGTTGAAAAATATTCGTCATTTCAAAATATAATACACTTTGACAAAACTAAAGTTTCATTAATAATATTTTTCCTATTATATTCTCTCTATTTAATATTCTTTCATAAATGGTGTGTTAAATAAAAGGCATTTTTAAAAATTTATATTTTTATTTTTAAAAAATAAAGTTGTAAAGTGTATTTAATAAATTTTATTGATATATTTAATTTTATTTAAAAATATTTTATAATTTAAAATGAAGAGTATCAGCTAAGGTCTAAATAATCTTTTTCGAATGTGCCTTGTAAGGAGAATAAGAGAGAGTATTTTGGATAAAGTAATGATTTAAAAAATTTCCTATATTATGGATCATAGGGAGTAATTATCTGCAACGAGTGTGTTTCAATTCTTTGTAAGTTATAGTTCAAATTAAATTACATAAGGCTAATTTAGGTGGTAAAATTAAAATAGAATAAGATGTAAGAATTTATGCTGTAAATTTAAATGCATGCATGATTGAGCTCCTTCAGGTCTACCCCTGAAGTCCGAGTCTCCCTTATCATCTTGAATTGATCATGTTAGAATAAATGATTTCTGGTCTATATTTTCAATGGTTAGGTTATAAATATGCCATTCATTCCAAGAATAAACCTTTCACATGAATATCATTTGTTCCGTTTAAGGAGGGAAAATGATTGTGCTTTTTCTTTATAAGATGTAGCTTTGACATATATTTCTGTATGACCTCATATTTTTAATGTGAATCTAGATTACTTCATTATTATAATATTCAAATTCAAATCAAGAATTTGTGTGTCTATCTGGATACCGAAATTTTGACAAATAAAGGAGGAAAAAAATGTTCGTTCCTCACATTCGTGCGTGTTGAATATTGACTCATTTAACACCTTTAAATTAAACCTTTAAATTATACATTCTTTAACTAAAACAAGTTTCACACTAGCTAATATTTGATGCTTTCTGAATCTGTAATTAATGCCGTATTGAAAATCAAATAAATTAAAAGAGTCATGTCTGTTTATACCTACCCACTAACTGGGTCTCAACCTCTTATACAAAACGTAGGTGGATATGTCCTATACATATATGTTGATGATATATATTTTCGTACATACACACTTAGCACCCACTTCATGAGGGGTGTACATGCTGTGATATATGCTTGAATTAATTACCTTTATGAGTGAATATTGGGAAAATCACCGTAGAGTATCACATAAAAATTCTAATTAATTCCCAAAAAATCCTACCAAATGCACAAATGATATGAGATCTCTAGAGACTTAGTTATGAATAGGATTAGACACAACGACCAATTTGTCTTGGTTGAGTTAAAGGAAAGAGGGATACGCACCTTTTTCAGATCAAGGACATTTTGGTTAATTTATAGAATATCTTATTTCCAGCTAAGTTCATAGGGAGCTAAGCTATTTGTACATTTGGTGAAACTTTTGGATAATTATAGTGCTTATGGTGGAGACTTTATAGTAATATTTTTAAAATTAAACTAGATATTAAACTTAAAAGGTCAATAATTTATGGTTTGCATGGTCCAACTAAGTTAAATTAATGATTGAATCGATGATATAATAATTAAATTAAAAAATTATATCTGTATATAATAATTTAAATATAAGAAATAAATATAAAATTGTTACTTAATTTAAAAAAACTAGATATTTTAAGTTTATCATGACTTAACAGATCACATGATACAACATAATATCAAATAATTAAAAAAATTGATAAAAATTAAAAATTTTCTAAAAAAGAAAAAGGGCATGTTTTTGAAAATTGGATTTGGTTCTTGGTTTGATCGCTGGTCCAAAGTGGCCCAATCCTATCCAACTCTCCAAATGATTTTTTCAGCTTGATTGAGTCGTTAGCCTGACCAGTCGACGGTCTAACTGATCCGATCTTCTGGTTTGGTTTGATTTTTTAATCATTGCTTTATAGTAGTGATTTTCCCATGAATATTTTTGGCAAAATATAACTTTTGGTCCTTGATTTTTTTTTCATTTATCAATTCAATCATGCACCAAACTTGAAACAATTCAATCATTATAGTTTTGTAATTTAGAACAACTCAATCCCTATATATTTCTTAACTCAATAAATTGTAAGGATTGAATTGTATTGAGTCAAAGATCAATGATAAAACTAATACTCCTTCTGTCCTCATTTATAAGGTATTTTTGGCAAAATTATATATATCAATAAAAGTTTATTAAATATAGTTTACAATCTTAATTTTTCAATAAACTTCCAAAAATGCCATTTATTAATAAGAAAGAGATCAAAGGAAAATTATTTATGAAGTACAATAATGAGGATAATATTAAAATAATCATCGTTAATAAAATTTTATTTTTTTTCAATCATCTTATATATTGAGACACCAAAGTAAAATATCTTATAAAATAAGACAGGGGAATAATTGGGAGAAAGTTTAAGAACTAAAAGTCATGTTATCCCAATATGTTTTGTAAAGACTAATGTTATTAACTGCCTGGAATTAATTATTAAGAAGGCACTTATTAATAATGTTGATCAATAAGTTATAGATTAATTAGTAGCTAGTTTGTCTGTAAAAGAATGTGACATGCATGACTCTCTATCTACATGGATTGCCCCGAAAAATGAAAGGAGAAAGAGGGGCATAATGGTAAATAAGAGGAAGAGGGACAAAATTAATAATATAGAAGTCAAAAAGGTGGTAGTTTGTAGTCTATCCACGTGCAGTTGTGAAGATTGTAAGATAAAATGTTATGTTAGTTACGCCTGAAAACTTATCAAAACCTAAAACACATCCTCCTCCCTCCCCATGACTTCCAAATATTTTGTCTAACAACATTACCAAACCCCACATTTATTTATTTTTATTCTTTTGTCCTACGTATATCGATCTATACATTAATTAATATTGGATAGACATAAAAATTTTAAAATATAAATCATTATCAAGTTCTACGAAATTAAATTACTTCCTTGTGCTTCTTGAAGTATATATATTACTAGATTATTTTGTCTTTTCAGATATTACTTTGGTTTTTATTATTAAAAAGTAGTAATAAATTCAAAAAATATATGGAGAAGAATAATTTATCAATTTATAGAGGGCATATAAATTTATTTTTATAATTTTTAATTAAGAGGAATTTTAATTTTTTTAAAAAAATACTTAATTGTCAATCCTCTCAATACTACAATAGTTATTGTGATTATTTCAGTTAAATAAGCCAAAATATGGGGATTACATATATTCAGTTTTTTTAATATTCTATTTACATATTTATTTCTGTTAAATCAAACAGTAGATCATATATATAAACGTGCACCTTAATTAGCCACCAAATGACGTTACTCTAAAAGAAAGTTGAGACCTCAGAGAGTCTTGGGACGTCTCTAGTGGGCTTTTATATTCACACATAATAATAATAACAATAACATGATATCATATATTAATCAAGGCAAGCAAAGTGGTATACGTTTTATTTTTATACATGTTGATGTCAGAAAATCAAATCAACCCGTCTGCAAAAAAAAAAAAAATTGATATAGTTTGAATGTAATGAGATTGGGGAATGCATAATAAAATAAAAAATGGAAAAATGATCGAGTGAGAGAGGCTTGGTGGGTTATAAGTAGACGTTGTAGGTTAGAAACTTGGAAATTAAAGACGTTGAAAGCAGAACCAAACTCGCTCCACTAAGCAACCTCTCTTTCTTTTCTTCTTTATTTCCCCAACATCCATCCCACATATACATACACACACACACATTAATTAATATATGCGTCTCTGTGTCCGTGTCTCTGTGTGTGTGTGGGTATATATATATAAGAGTTACTCATATAGGAGTTTGTTAGCCAAAACGTTTGCATCAATCGCTGGTGCAAGGTCTGTCCAAACTCTCCCACTCTCTAACGGAAAACACTTCCCCACCATATATTCTCTCTCTCTCTCTCTCTCGTCTTCGTTCTTCGTTCTTGCTTTCTTCTTCGCTCTTATCTCTCTCGCTTCACTTGCACAGTTTCTAGCTAGCTGGCAGAAGGAGATAAGATCGATTCTGCAGAAGAGGAAGAGGAGGAGGAGGAGGAAGAAGACAAATTAAAGGATCATATACTTTAAACCCTAATTAATAACTATTAGGGTTTGATTCCTCGGTTCTGTAGTTTGTTTCTGGTTTTGTAGTTAGGGAGATAATAATATGTGTAGTAGAGGCCATTGGAGGCCGGCCGAGGATGAGAAGCTTCGAGAGTTGGTGGAGCGTTATGGACCTCATAATTGGAACGCCATAGCTGAAAAGCTTCGAGGAAGATCAGGTGAGAATATTATTCATCATCATCTGTTTCTATGAACATAATTATTATTGTCTTCTTAATTAATTACTATTATCTAACACTACTTAACTAGCTATATATATATATATATATATATGTCGATCACCTATAAATAGTTCATGAGAGCACGTAGCCAGGTAATTGAATTGAATCCACAGCTAGCTTTCATAGGAGTTTAATTAACTCAATTAAGGAAAGAATTGTGTTTCGCATATATGTTGAATTGAATGAATTTATATATATTTATGTAGGGAAGAGCTGCAGGTTGAGGTGGTTCAATCAGCTGGACCCAAGAATTAATAGGAGTCCATTCACAGAGGAAGAAGAAGAGAGGCTTCTGGCTTCTCACAGGATCCACGGAAACAGATGGGCTGTGATTGCGAGGCTTTTTCCAGGACGAACTGATAATGCTGTCAAGAATCACTGGCACGTCATGATGGCTAGGATTCGCCGAGAAAGGTCCAAGCTTTATGCAAAACGGCCTCATCATCATCAGCTCACCACATCACAGTGTTCTCCACTGCGATCAGATCCTCCTAATACTGATGATCATGATCAGGATCATCATCATCATCATCATCGCTCAAGCTATGATACAATTCTTAGGACGACGACCAGTCCTGCTGCTAGTCTTGTTCCTGCTTTTGTTGAGAAATACTATGACAAGCTTGCTTTGCCATCAGCTTATTGTCTCCCTTATAACCCTTTCCTTCAATTTCCCAGAAAGTTTGATCATCACTTTCAAAATCCAGCTTCCTCTTCATCAAAACTTCATGGTAATTATTATAATCTCTTGCATCTATTCTTTCTCTCGCTTACTTAGATTTAGGGAAACTCTTCAGTATGAATTTGGATATGCTATGGTCAAGCGCTAAGTAATCAATCAATCTGCTACTAATTAGGCTTGATATCTATATTCGAAAATCTCTGCCCTTTATTCAAAGAAATCAAATGAATTTGTTCTGATGTCTGTTAGCTCAAATGAATGGATTGGATTTTGAATATTAGAAGGAGTAACATACATCCAAATCCGCAGAACACTGATACAGTGTTTAGTAGGTGGAAAAATATTTTCTAAAAGGTAAATGAAAAAGGCGTCAATATCATTTTTTTTCTTCTAGAAAGGCATCAATATCATTTTTTTTCTAGATATATTTCTCGTTTTCTCCCCCTAAAAAACAATTTTTCGTATATCAAACATTGTATGATATTAACATTCAGTTAGTGATAATATGACAGTGATTTGGCACAAAATTTAATAGCACGAAGCACACACAAAGTCTTTCTGTCGAGTGATTATAATTGTGAGGTTTAAAAGCGGAGTTTCTTATTATATTACTGTGATTGTTTAATAATATTGCAGATAAAAGTCATCAATCAGTTGAGTTCTATGACTTTCTTCAAGTAAACACTGATTCTAACAACAGAAGCGAGGTAACAGACAACGCCAGAAGAGAAGACGAGGAAGTGAATCAAGATAGTGAACATAATGTTAGAGGACGACAGAGAAAAGACAGGACTACTGCTGGTGGTAGTGGTGTTCCGTTTATCGATTTTTTATCTGTTAATGGAAGCTCCCAACACAAGTTCGATCGTACTCATCATGCACAAGAATCGATGCACTTTCATACATATATTTTGTAAGAACTTCAAACCTGACTAGACCAAAGACTTACATTTAGATCCATACACACACACACGCACTTCGACAGAGAGAAATGTATTTGCGTTTTGAGGATATATACACACTTGTAAAAATGGTTAAGGGAAGCTCTATTTGTCAAGATATTGTATGAGTTTAACTGAAGGAATGTAGAAAATCCATTGATATTAGCATGAACAATGATTCTTGGCTTAATGCTGATATTAGTATGAACAATGATTCTTGGCTTAATGCTACAAGTATAGATGGTAACACACAAATGCATGTAAAAATAAATCAGACACACATACTCTTCCGATTTTTTTGAGGGGTGGGTTTGAAGTTTGGGGGATTCATTTGAGATTGGTGAGTGAATTAGTGCTTTTAAAGGCCAACTTCAATTACTCACGTTCTTGCACGTTATGTGCATTCGATATTAAGTAAAAGATGACTCATCAATAAATACAATATATATAATCTAGATTTTTTACATTCACAGAAGAGTGTGTGAGTGGGTGTAATAGTTATATATTCTAATATCTAAGAGAGGTTAAAGAGGAGAGGATTATGAGTGTAAAATATTTAACATGTGAGAACCTTAAAAATTCATTTTTTTTAATGTGGTTATTTAATTAACTAGGTGAGATTCCAACATTGTCAGACCCCATTGTAATTTGTAAGTAATGTACTGAAACTCTTTCAAAAAATTTTCCATTAATACAAAAGATTTTACATAAACTCAATACAAAAGATTTTATACTTAAATCGTAGACATTTCCATTAATATCAATGCCACGTTCTTTAATTTATTTCATTGTTAGGATTGGGAAATCAAAATTGGTTTTGCATTCTCCTTTAAGAAACATGAGATTTTCTTGGAAAGGCGTCACCTATTTTTGATATTTTAACATATTGATGATGCTTTAAACCATATTTCCTTTGCTATGAACGAAAAAGTATGCAGTTTTTGACCATTTATCATATTTTTTAATAATATTATGAGTTTATGACATGTGAAATAACGCTTTGAAATGAATCGACATATAATGAGATAATAAGTGAGAATAGTTTTTTTAATTAAAAATCTGAATGACAAATAGTGCACATTTATTCATGTGCTGTAATATTTCTAGTCTCGACTGAATTTGTAATATAATCGATATTGATTACCATGTGCTGTAATATCTCTAGTCTCAACTAAATTTGTGAGTGGGCATGATGGAAGGATCAAATAAATATAATCCTTAAATTAAAGATTGTGATATATTCCTAATTGTTTTGCAACATCTTTAACCACCCCCAGATAGACAGACAGATAGTCTCTGAATAATAATATATGGACCAAACGTTGAAGTGTGACATAATCTCTAGCAGCCGACACTGGGTCATCACATGATCGATAAAATGACTCATAACTGCCTTTTGATGATCCATATTTAATTTTAATCTATATTCACTTGTTCACATTCCACTATGATGGTGCAAAATAATGTTTCATTAATTTCTTTTTTCTTCATATCATCATGACTTTCTTACTGACGTTGAATTTAAATGGATATTGTGTTTGCGTTACTAACTGATTACTACTAGATTTATTCTGATTTTTTGAAGGGATATTTCAGAATAAACTGATTACTAGATTTATGTGCTACACTTGACACTTTGTGTAATATGAAGGTGCAATAAAAAACTTATATTTTTTGTGGTCTAAAGTAACTTTTAGTTACATAAATGTGTAACTTGGATTCTCCATAATGAGAGAGAAGGAGAAAGAAAAATATCCCTTGTGTGAGAGAACTTGTGTAGGTGAGATTTAATATTGCCTTCTTTCTTTTTAGGCTTAATAGGACAAATTCGTTTTAGAAATTTGAAGTGCAACTATCCTTAACTTTGAATTGGCACAATGCAACATTAGGAAAAATTTAACCACTAATTAGCTAAGTAAAAGAGGTTAATTATGTAAACTTACACAATATGTGGTTATAGAGAGCTAACACGTGTTTTGGATTGTGATTTTAGCTCTTGGATTAGGTTTGGAGCAAGGTCGGCTCACTTGGACATCAAAAAGTGAGAAAAATAAAGAGAAATGACTTTATGCCACATGCCGTAGTGTGTGAACAAGATACTGCAACATACGAGCCATCAGAACATAGGAGTCCTTTCTCCGTACCATATGCTACAATGCATGGTACAAAAGTTGTAGCACACGATCATGATTTTGTAGAAATAAGAAGGCGAAGCAGCTAGAAAATAGAAGAGAAACAAAAGAGAAAATGAAGAGTTTGTGAAAACCTCTACTAGGGCTTGGGATTTGAGGCATTGGGGGTATTTTGAATCTTTCAAACATTAAAGGTAAGATGCCTAAGCTTTTTCCCTCTTTTTCTCTTCTATTTTTCATGAATATGGAAGTTAGGGTTTGTTAGAAAAGATGATTTTTTGTCTATAAAGGCTATGAGTTTTTATCTATTGATTTAAATAGAGTTAATTTAATAGGAGTTGATTAGGTTATTTAAACCTAGCATTTATGGCTCTATGCATTTTTAATAGTTGGGAGCCATAAATACAAGAAATTTCAACATTAATGAGGTGTTTAGTGTAATGTGAAGCCATATGGCTAGTTAGAAGTTCAACAAAGTTATTGAGAGTTATAAGAAGTTAATAAACCCTATGCGTATCTTTATAGGTAGAGAAATTGAATTTTAAGAATGATGAAATATTGAACTATATTTTAAAATTGTCCCAAAAATGGATATTAATGATTAATATTGTGGTTAAATATAGAATGAGTAGTCCTTTAATCTCTCAAACGTTTGAGGTAAAAGAGGAAAAATCTTTCTTGTTCTTTTGTGTGTTAATCAATTTATTAATTTAAATGTTATAATTGAAGTGTGTGAAATCATTTGACATAAAAATGTGGCATAAATTACTTGAAAATTGATTATTATGACTTTGTAAAAGTTTTGTGACATGTTGCATATGAAGTTATATGAAATAGTATTAGTGGAGTTCCCTGACATGGTTTATGTGGTGTTCAATGACTTGGTGTTATGTGGAGTACAATGATTATGCGTTAAATGGAGTTCAATGATCGTATGTTAATAGAATTCAATGATTATGTGTCAATAGAGTTCTATGATTATGTGTCATGTGGAGTCCCATGATTGAGTATGAAATGAGAAAGTAGGGAGTACAATGAAGTGAATAGGCATGTTAAATGTGTGAGACATATACGTGCTGTGAATGTTGATATTTGTGCATTGCATGATTATGCGAGGTAGGAGTTCGCTTAGGAAGAGGAGTAGTGAGTTTAAAATCCACATGATAAGGCTTCTATCAGAGCTCAATAGTTTTTCTGAATTTGTTTATACTTATCATACCACTTGTTTTATAAAGAACTGTCTAACTTATTCTATAAAGGACTTAAACCTAACTAGCTCTTCACTTGTTCAACGAGGAGCCTAGTGTAGGGAGAATGACACCCCACAGTGTAAGAATTAGGAGAAACAGTGAACCATAAGTGAGTTAGGCAACCTTGGCTGGGTAGCTCTTCTTGCATGAATAGCTAAGGTAGTCTTATCTCATAAACAATCCTAGTATGTTATAGCCCATGGTTTTGTGTCAAAGGTATAAAAAGGATATAAAGGAGGTGTGATTATACATATTGTGATAGAAATGGCACATAGTTGTCTATATTGTGTCCCTTGAGATGAAATTATGTGATTAACTTGGTAATATTGTAAAAACTGATTATCATGTTATTATTCCATGATTTTAAGTTAATGATGATGAGAAATGCGATTATGTGCTTGAACATCTTAAATTGACATGTATATGACAATGATTTACCACTTTCATTTAAATTGATTAACGTACGTTAGTATAAGTTTGATAAACCTTAATTACTATGTGGTTGTATTCACCCCTTTTTTTTTCAATATTACAGGAGTTAGCTCATCGGGTCAATATTAAAGGAAACAATCCGAGACATAAGATTACTATCCTATTTGTAGGCCTCGCTTTCATTTTTATTATTATGTGTGTAAATTTCATGATATTGCTAACTAGGGAAGTATATGTTTTTAGTTTACTTACACTATGAGAAAGTTGCATTAAATCATGCATTTTGGGTCCTTGGATGTGCATGTATTATTGTAAAATTTAAATTAGGGCTAAAATACTAGTGTAAGTAGGGAGTGAGTAAAATTGTGATTATTGTGGAATGATATGATAATTTGTGAATTTAACTCTCCCCCTCATGTTTTTGCAATTCAAGGGGTTGAGAGTTGAAAATGTGATTTATGTCTGATTGATTGACTATGCTGTATTGTACAGATCCATTGTAGTCTATTGAGTGTGTTCTAGGGTGTGAATTAGGTTTTTGGCACTTGCAATGAAATTTGGATACCCAAGTTGTGTTTGAAATGCAAAAAAGAGTGTTTTGAGAAATGGGTGTCCAATTTCTGACTGAGAAATAATTTTATTGTAAAATTGGTGCTATTGGCTGGAGCTAGAAGAAAGCTCTTTGTAGATATCTCAATCACCTTAATCAAACGTCAGATAAAAAAATAAGTCGCATCAAAAGTCCACCCTTGTTACTGTCAAATGACAATAGCAATGCTGTCAAAAATGTGAAACACACTGCGATACATGACATAGAGGTAAACATATCACAACTCACATATAATGTGTTGTAGTGCATCTCTATTTTTTACTGCACATTTTTTTGGTTTCTAACTAGTTTGCAAATGCTTTGACTTATTTAAGATCTTATGTTTTTGCATTGGCTTTCTACTCTAATTTTTGAATTGTTAAATATAACATCTCAAAAATTATTCCCTTGATTAATTAAGCTAATAAAGAATAAATTTATAAATTTAAATATAAATGAATTTGAGAATAGTTAGAGATAGCTATTGGGTTTGGTTTTAGCTTTTGGATTGAATTTGGAAGTGAATTAGGTCTCCTGAACTCAAATTGTAGAGAAAAATTAAATTTTTAGCCCACTGTGCATTATGCTGCAACATAAATTAATTTTTAGACTCAGCTTTTTTTTAAAAACACAAAAATGTCCAAAACAAGGTAAAATAAGTCTGAAACAAAGGCAGGGCAATGAAAAGAGTTGTTCCTCTGCTAAGGCATCAACTCTTGGGCATTTTGGATGTGATTGGAGCTAGATTTTACCTAGGTATGTCTTCTTTATC